TGTTGGTATGCATTAGCACATTCTCTTCCTGTAAATTCGGATGCTTAGTCATAAGTGGCGACTCTAAACTTTATTGCATCCGTAGATGGTAGCTGAGCCCTGTCTCTTAGATACTGGCTCCAGAGTAACTTCATGTCTGAGGAAACAGCTCTGATGCAGGCACTGAGAGATCACTGGCTGTCAGAAAACACAGGAGATATACTACCAGGGGGCAGATGGAGAAGGTAAGATAGAGATGTAATGGAAATATTTCCCACACGTACACACAAAGCCAAACAGTGAAGGGGTTACAGCATTGCAGGGAGACCACCGTGTCAGAGGATGCTTACTGTGTTTAGTTAACTTTCTGCTGGCACAGGATAATACTGAGGGTCAGTTTGAAACTGTGTATTATAACTTTATCTGGATGGTTGACTGGCTGTGCACTGAGCACTACTGTGGACTGACGAACAAGCTGATGATTATCATAATTATAGTTGTGTATATTTATGAGCCCTTTGTTGCTGATATGCTGTAGTCGTTCCAGTACAGTTTGGCAATTCCTTTGTGTATGAATTATTCACTCTCTGGCTCATAGTTCATCATCCATACTTAATGGATAGGATCATATACTCCTGCAGCTTTCAGTTGACTGATGGAGCCACTGAACCCAACTTAACTCACAAGACATGCATTTGATGATTGGTGAAGACGTGTGATTATTGACCAGGCTCACTTGAACGTTTTATAGGGATTCTTTGTCTTAGGCTAAATGTCAAAGTTTAGCCCATAAGAAAGATGAAGTTTGACAAATTAAGCAGATTAATGGTTGCTCTCCTATATGGGTTTTGCAATATCATATAACGGGTACTGGTCAGGCTGTCAAACTCTACTATGCTACTGAGTTTGAACTAACACTGTGCCATTAATTACCTAAGGCCACTCTGTCATTTTGTTCTGTATCTGATTACTGGGACCATTTACACCCATTACAGAGATCTTCAAAATGTATTTACATTAGATTTTATTTGGGTGTTTGCAGTATTTTCCATCTTAGTGTGCTTAATTGCTAAAAATCCATTAGCAGAAATTTTACAGGCATGTCCAATTGTCATGGGGAATGCAGTGTCTCTTTGCCAGAGTTTCTGTGTCTGGTCTAACAAGAAAGATTTGTTAAACTTGGATTTTTCAGCATTTAGTATTTAGTCTATCCAATTAATTTTTTTTTTACAAAGATTACCTGGATTATTCTGACAGTCTGTTTCCTTATAAAATACTGAGGATTTTTCTGTGAGGTTACATCTTTGATGTTCATCCATTTTCTCCTATGAAGTAGGACCCTCTGACCTACTGAGATGCGTCTCATCCAATACAAACAGTATCCTGTATGCATTCATATTTGGAGAGCTAAAGAAGATAATGACAATAATTCTCTCTTCTGACTGTCTAAATATTAATGTAGTGTTTTCTCTTTGTCTTGCAGGGTTTACTTGAACAGAATCACCCAACAGTTTAAAGGAAAACACTGCAGCTTTCCCAGCAGTCCTGGTTGAACTCCTGGTTGAACTCATTTTGTACGAGCTAGGAGATGTGTGGATTTCTTTGATTAGTGTTGCACCTAAGTGGGTTTTGAAGGGAATGTAGGAAATGGTAAGAAAGAAAGTAAGGACTGAAATTATTCTCCAACAGCTGTGGTCTTACCCTTCTGTGTGACTTTAAAGCATTAAAGAAAAGGAGACAGAGAGCACAAGAGAAGAGGAAACGTGAGAAAGTGTCACCAGTTTGACTAGGGGAGGACATCAGACATCTGCAGCACTGGAAAACAGCCTGACAGACTACAAGGGGTGAGTGGGTGATCACAGAAAGAGAGAGAGACGGGGACTGACAGAGGAGTAAAGTTTTGGAGGAGGAGGTTTAGGAGGGGTGGGAAAGGCCTTTCCCCATGGCTACTGACCCCGGAGAGCCCACAGGCACAGATGACTCCTCAGAAACACCTGATGGACAGAGGAAGGGGGACAAAGAGCGGGAGGGCAGGTCCAGTGAACAAAAGGAGAGGACATACAACATCCCCTCTCAACTACCCTCCAAGACTCAAGAGAGGACTGCAGCAGGAGGAAAGGATGGTGCAAACCAAGTAGGAGGGGGGCAAGTCAGCCGGGCAGGTGAGGACACCATAGTAAGAGCCATTTCATTCTCCACACCCTCTTTACCAATAGACACTGGTCAAAAACGACTGAGAAGGGAGAAGCGCTTCTTCAGGAAGAGTGTGGAGATTTGTGAGGAGGATGATATAGTGGAGGTGTTCCCTGAAGGGTCCCACAGTGCCCCTAACCTGGAGCTGCGCTCCTCAGACTCAGTCTTCACCAACAGTGCCCAGCAACAAGGAGCTGCTTCATCCTGTGCTGCCCTGGGTCATGACCCATCTTTTCCCAGCTCTAGCCAGGAGCCTGGCAAGGATGCTCCTGCATCTGCACCCACTCAGAGGGGGAAGGAAAGGGAGCGTGAGCAGGAGGAGGAGGCAGAGATGAAGGCTGTGGCCACCTCCCCTGGAGGCAGGTTTCTTAAATTTGACATTGAACTTGGCAGAGGAGCCTTCAAAACAGTGTATAAAGGCCTGGACACAGAGACATGGGTGGAGGTGGCTTGGTGTGAACTACAGGTAAGACGAAATGTTCTTTCTCCCATAATGAATATAAAATCTGCATTAACTGGCACAGTTAGCTGCAAATTGAAATACATCCAGAATAAGCATTGCCTGTAAAGAATTCAGAATGTGTAAGCAACCTGAGATGAATTTATATCCACAACTAATATTTCCAATTAGTGTGTTTTGGAGGGTTTCACACCCAGTATCAGTTTTTGAAGTGAATAGTATTAGACTTGTCCCAAGAGTCTTTCCCCCCTGAAATCTTGAAATCTCTGCATATTGTGAGACTGAAGCTGTCTGGAGTCTGAGGTGAAAAATAAGGTGCATTGCTTGTAGCTGAGTGACGGAACAAAATGGAAATGAAAGCTTTGCTTTTGTGATCACTGTTATGAATAATAGAATCATAGGTTGTCAGCACTTGTTCATGTTGTGATGTGGTAGCAGCAGAAGCAGCATTTACTGCATTGTCTTAAATTATGTGAATTTATTCATGACATTTGAGGGAAATATGGTCAACATTACATTTTTAATTAGGCTAGTTTTTATATTAATTAGTTTCTAGCTGAGGCTACATGTCACAGCCTACCCTTCTCTATTGTGTAGTAAAATGATGTGGTATGAAATGGAAAAAATCATATGAAAGAGATGCTCTGAATGGGATACATTTTGTGAGGACAGAGCAAATAGGAACACTAGCAAATGTAGGTGTAACAGCAGCAAACATTGCTCTAAGAAACTTATATTCTGTGCATGGTGGTGGGGGGAAAATAATGAAATATGACATAGTCTTTACATGCTGTAGCCAACCTTATTTGTTACGCTGAGAAGTAATGGGACACATTGTTAGATGTGTAAATTGCAACAAGTGGTGGGAGACAGACTTGAGGAGGAGAGAACAAATGCAACCCTTTGACTCTTGGGCCCCACAATAGAGAGCAGTGTTATGGTAAGCCATCTGAGTTGACTGCTGGCTTTGTGTGAGAAAGTCAGTTGTGTTTGGTTTGGAGTTAATTCCAAAACAAGTGCTTTGACTAATCCTTGAGTTCAGGCTCTGTCTGTTGCACTAACAAGCAGCAGGCATGCCCCCATCACCTTTTTTTGCTTTTCCTCTAACACTTAGTGAATCAGCTTCAGCAGTTGGGATCCACTACTTGGTATATCATTTTGCCACAGCTCCTGCTGAGTCTGACTTAAATACTTGCTCTCTCCTTTTTTCGGTAGATCTGCTCTGTTCAGCTTTCAAAGGTAGACTGTTTCACTTTAAATAATAATGTTATCACTGGACATGACACCAGCAAAGGCACCACACTGTATTTGCCCTGGCTCGGGAGGGTGAGCAAATCTGGGCTCATATATCATTTTGAAAATGAAAAGACATTAAACTGATTTGTGCAACCATATTGAATCTGTGATATCCAATTTTGTCTCCATAAATACAAGGGGTTACATTAAATCTCATGGAGGAAAAACTAGTTTTTACTGATTACTTGTTTGACATATGAAGACATTAATGGATACATTAATCAGATAATACTGGGACAATTAAAAGCACTATATATTTTGCTGTCCAATTACTGTTGATTTTTTTTTATTCTAATCTGATAGGAGGAGAGCCTTTGAGATAAAAACAG